GAGAAGAAGCAAAATCCTTGCAAGCTCGATGGTCTTCGGACCATAGCAGCTACAAGTTTCTAATTTTTATTTCCTTATCAATGGCTGTTTTTTCTTTTTACTTATTTGTTGTTGGGATGATGTTTTGGCTTCCTGAACCTTTGGTGTCAGGAGCATTTATTATTTTATAAATAAAATATCCACTATTTTTAGTGGTTACCAAAAAAAAAAAAGCATCTCCACAAATATAGGAAATTTCCATCAGCATTAAGGTCACAGATAATTGAACAAAAGCAAAATAAACTAGAATAGTATAAAGTTCTTTTCTAATTGGAAATGGCAACAGAAAAGCAAGTACTTGTCTAGGAATTCTTATTTTTCCTTTTCTTGTCCTTCCATTAGAAGTAAATGGGAAATTAGACTCCTTTCCTCTTTTACTTTCTGCAACAATTAATTCGAAAAACTAGAAAGGGTTCAACATCTCAGAAATAGCCATATTACCCTACTATTCCGACATTATGAAGGCTTGAGATAAGCATTACTATATTAGAAAAGAAAAGGCTAAACAGGGGAAGAACAATGAGAATACTTGTGCCATTAATCTGGTAAGGCATTAAAGAAAACAACAACCAAGAACTGCAATCTACAATGATACCAAAATTCACAATGATACATGATTCACTTCTGGAATCTACAATGATACCTAAATTTGCACATAGCCATCGCTATTTGCAGTCCACCAAGCACAAAATACACAGCAGTATCAAATTTGGTGTATGTCACAATCCACAATAGTATCGAATTCATAAAATTCTTGTCACAACTCACATAAAGTAATACAACAAATAAACAAGGAAAATCATTACCTAAAAGGCAACAAACAAGAGATCGTAACTCTCTACTTATCAATTGCCGCTATCTGTTGCTTATCTTGGCATCACCATGCCAATTTCAATCTTGAAACTGAGATCAAGAACTCAGATGTTTCTACATTCATGCCAATTTCAATCTGCACCAATTTTTCAATGAGAAAGCCATCACTTCCAAAAATAAAACAATGTAACAGAACTGCAAGGTCAAAAAGAAAGCGACCTTGCCAGTGTAACTAAGCCCTTCCCTGTTACTGTGGACATTTAGACTGAATCCACCTTCATCACCAACCTCATAGGCATATTGTCATTCCCTTTAGTGCGTGTAGACTGTTCTCCAATAAAGGGTTGGTAGTCAGAAACAATGACTGATTTGAGATAAGTGAAAACTGAAAGTGAAAAAGTTAATACACTAACCTAGAGCAATGTAACTACAAGACCCTGCAATGACAGGCATAGACTTGTTTTCCTTGGCACTGACATCAACCGTCTCCAAAACCAGCAACTCGAGCTCCAAAATCAGCAGTACTCTACAGACGTAGTCACTGAACAACTTGTATTTCATGTGTCATACATCTTTCAATGAGAATCAAAAACTTCAACCTACCAAAACAATTAAGACATAACGTTAACCAAATAAAACGTTGAGCAGAAATAGAAACACATTTTAAAGATGATGAAATTTCTTTAAACTACTATTTGTCAGATACTATCTCTCCATGAAAATGAATTCTTAGTAGTGAAATCTACTAGATAATGCTTGTTCACATCTCATGCTGCAAGACATGAATACGGACGATCAAGAAGTTTGTTTTGAAAATTTTGCATGAGCTAACTCCCGTTTGAGGAAGGTGGCACATAGAAGCACGTTCCATCAATCAGGGACACCAGTGGTTGCAGTCTTGGTGGTGCAGAGGAGCTGGTCCAACCTTGGCATAAGTAATACAAAGACGAGTGACCGTCTCTTCTCTGGACTGTCATCCCTGTTACATTCAACAAATTCAAATTCCATGCTTCTGATTTGTTTTGTTTCACCAACACCACATTGATCAGAGTGTTATATTCAAATGATGTCTTCAGTAACTCTTGGGATGATCCTATGTTAGGAAGTTCCTCCAGATGACAGTTACCGCCGTGTCTTCCAGTCCCACCACTATTCATTGAAGTGATTCAATAGTTGGGTATTATCATCACCAAAAATATTGCAGCTATTAAAGAGTAAAGTTAAGAGATTATATAAACAAATAATCTAGAAATAACACCAATATACAAAATCAATTCACCCAATGAAAGCCACCTTATGAATTCAAAGATACAAACATGGACTTGCCATCTGATTATTGAAACTAACGTAGTAACGGGCAATATACCCAAGAAACCATTTGAGTTTATTTCTATATTCAACAATGTGATCATGTAAGAAAAGGAAAACTGCAATCAAACAACAAAATAAGCTAACATCAAACACAATGATTCTACGATTGTTATTGTACATTCAGTAGTCTTTAGTTTAAGACCACAAAATTCAAAAGTCTTTGCAAACCTACGACACAATTTTATAGTAGTCTTAGTTCTCTTTAGGTGTCTATAGCTAAAACTCGAAGAGAATGAAGTTTTTCCTTAGCATACAATCCTGTAAAGATGTTCCACTGTTCTTTCTTTCTTTTACAATTACAAGCATAATTCTCCAACATCACCATCTTAAAACATAGAAACTAATATTATATCTCTCAGATATACAGTTGGTAATTCATTAACAACTAACAAATCAATTAAGAAGTTAATCTAACCAACCAAAAATCAATTACTAGCAAGTTATCCTCAATGTAAACCTTATTCAATCAGATTATACACATCGAAATTCTAAAAACTCGAGATTTAAGGAAAATCCCAAAAGTATAGTTAAAAATCTAGGGAAGAGCTGAAGCTTCTCCGTGGTGCAGGATGTAGGGTGACGAGTGATTGAAGCCTTCTTTTGCTCCAAAATCCACGAAGATAAATTCCTTTTGGAATTTTTCTGGAAAAAAATATAATTAGAATAGAAATATCAAAACTTTCAAGAATAATTCAAAGTTGAAAAAAATACACAATTGAACAAGAACTCACAAGTCTAGTGACTCATCTTCTAAGCTTTCGATGTCTAAATTAGGGCTTTATTGTTAAATTGAGAGAAACTGAAAAGACCGAGAGGAGAAGAGATGTATGGATGCAGAGCATTGGGGACTTGATTATGGATGAAGATGTATGCACAAATTTCAGAACCAAAAACTACAAAGAGTTAGTAATACATAACCGTCCAAATTGAAAATGCTAACCAGCCAGGGAATGACATAATCAATGGCACTTCATGAACCAACCATACAACCGCCGCTGCCGCCTCCATCTCTTCTTGCTCCGATCGCTGCTATTGTGGAAGAAGACGGTGGTAGCTCCGGCATTCATCAGCATAACTAATACAAGCATATTTAACACTATTCTTATAGATCCAACAAACGACCATGTCTTACTAACACATCATATTCAGACTATCAACAATGTCTTACACAAATAAATAGTAATAAGTTTTGTGCACCAACAGTCAGTCTATTATAACTTGAAAACAAAATCTTACCCCATTTGCGGAGTTCTACCAAGGCCATTGCCCAAGAGATTTCGTGGCTGCAGACAAGCATATGTCATCGTCATCGTCGTAGCCAGACACAAACACAAGCAGAACCATAGTAGAAGTGGTGAAGTTGATGACATCATTCTGTGCTTTAATTTTCTGGTAGATTAGAAATTTAAATTCTGAACTCGTCGTAATCAAGCATGGTGTGCTGATGAGGAAAGGTTGTTACTGCTTGAGGTGGACAAGTAAATCTGGCTAGGCAGATTTTTCTATTTATAGAGATATATATATGATGACAAGTGACACTCTAGTTAGTGGTGGTGGTGCCACAATGCAATGTATTCCTCATCACTCATTGACTAGCGAGTGTATTGATTATAGATTTAGTCGAACTCAGTAATTTTAGTTCAAATTCTGAATTTGTAGTAAGAAATTCATTGATATATACAAATTATTAATTTAGAATCCAATAACTTAAAACAATTAAGTTTGTATATACTTTTTTACATTGTGAACAAAATCTCAGCATAAACTGTAATCTTAAAAAATTTACACCTCCCTCCACCACCACCCCTACCCTAATATACTTTTTAAGATTACAGTTTATGCTGAGATTTTGTCACAAAGTAAAAATATTGCAAAATGTTGCTCCAAATGCAGAATATTAAGATAAAAAAAGTATATGTGCTTCTTGTTGTGGAATCAACTGTGCTGTAACTCCATAAGTCAGATTTTAATTTGTTCTAATCATTCATCATTCATGTCACAATCTTTTTACCATGCGAATACAAAAACAACACTACTCAGTTTAATCACACAGGTGGAATTGAGGAAGGGTAGTATGTACATACCTTACCTCTACCTTGGTAAAGAGGTTTCCGAAAGACCCTTGGCTCAAAAGAAAAGTAACTGATGTACGAAAGTCAGAAAAAGAGATGACAAAATAGCAATGCATAAAACAAGTGTAGCAACAAATAATAATATTTTTTTTTTGAGATAAGGGTAACTTAGCAACAAATAATAATATGGAAAAATAGAAACTGCAGGGAAACAGTTAATGTACTAAGTATGCTGATTCAGTAAGCAAAACCAAACTTTCAGTTAACTACAATCAATAATCGCTAGCCTTATAGTCTCTACCCCAGTATAGCAGCTGGAGCTTCTGGTGTCAAGTGTCCTGAGTGATTTTAATAGCATCATGATGTTTCAAGGTTGCCTGACGTACTGAACACATGCATATGGGAAAAATTAAGATACGTTACAGATAATAAAATTGTGATAGAAACATAAAAGCCATGATTACAACACATTGTCAAAATTTTTAGTTTCAAGTTGCAGCTGGAGTTGATTGATCTCTTGCCCTACAGAGTACAGACAACTTTCCAATATCAATCTGTGAAAATCTTTCCATTTCCTTTCCACCACACAGTGCTGGACCTCTTCCGAAGTATGTCTACTAAATGTTATACAAAATATTTTAATAATTACTAAAATGGAGAGGGGGTATTGCCAATAGCATGTGTTGCTGTGAAATAACTCTTCAGACACATCACTGCTGAGTGATGGGCATGTCATGGAACGACTGGTTTACTGTCCCAAGCCTCTCTTACTTGGACCAAATCCGGACGGTATCTCTTAGCTAGAACTTCTACTTGATCAGGAAATGACTTGTTTCCAAGTTGACCTATGTGAAGAACCATTTGGTTCCATCTCTTTCGACATATCTCTCCAGCCCTGTGGTCAAGAAGATTGTCCCAGTCCACATCTTCGATGCAGCTTGTGTCGAGCTCAAAAAGTGCATCAACTAGGCGATAGTCATCAGAATCCACCCATTCACCTTTGGCCACCATGGGTGATGTTAATTGATCATACCATTTTGAGCAGCAGTTTGCACCAATTCTCGTGGACAAGCTTTCACTTATTGCACCCCATGCAATATTATCCCGTAGCATCCCATGCTTAGATTTCTTCTCTTCAGAAAGCTTCAGACTCAGATCGGTGTTTACTAAATCAAACAAATTCTGGTACTCCTCCTGAGTCCATTGTCCTTTATTCTGATGTTTTAGCCTTCGCCATGTATCCTTCACATGCCACCGATGTTTTCCAAGTTCATCAGCTAAGTCCCTCCATTTGTTCCCATGCTCTTTCTGGAACTTCAGCACCATCTCATACTCCTCTTCAGTCCATTTACGTGATTCACTTCTTCGAAACAGGATCTGCCCACGAGAGTAAACTGCAGTAGAAGGTCTATATGGTATAGCTCTCCCTATTTCTTTCCAGCAACCCTTAATTTCAGGATAAGATCTAGAATTTAAAACCTTTTTCAGCCCTTCTTCGCCTAAGTTATGTATCTCAATGTATTTATGAACAGCCTCTTTGACAACTTCATCTTCTAGCTTTGAGAATCGCTTGCCACGCAGTAAATTTTCTTCCTCGATCTCATGATTCTCATCACTTGGATCATTCAATGAAGGGAAAATCTGAACCTGACCAGAAAATCTCACTCTCTTTTCACTCTTCTCATGTGTAGGATCTTCAGAGTTGTGTCCTAATTTTACCCTTTTTCTCTTTTTGATATTACCTTTGTCTGTTTTGTTTTTTTCTTCCATCTCTATAGGTGAAGAAATATCACCTTCATTGACTTCAGCAACATCTTCCTGCATATCCTCAGTATCATGCATTTTCTCCAGCTCATTCCCGCAGCTTTTCTTCAACTTCCTACTTTTATTCCCTTCAACAGTTCTCGAAGCAACCTCGTCGCTGTCTTCACTAAACTTCCTAGAATGTTTTCCATGTTTTCTTTCTTTCTTTCTCTTGATGTCAGAGTCATCACTCTTAGCTTTAATATCAGTGTTTGTCATTTCTACACCATTGGTAGTCTTAATGTTTTTCTTGGATTTCTTCTTCCTTCTAATCTCGTCCACAACATCTCCACCAGAGACCTCACCAAGGGTCTCAACTACCTTGTCACTGTCCCGCATTTCAGTTGCACTTGCAGGAGCACTAGTTTTGGTGTCAAAAGGCTCATTCAAGCAGCTTTTCTTCAGCTTATTCTTTTTCTCTTTCTCAACATCTTCATCACTGACTTTGTTGGGTTTTCCTGAATTTTTTCCACCTTCTCTTTTTTTCTTTCTCTTAACCTCACACACATCACTCTCTCCCCCAAGATCACCTGTGGCAGCATTCTTATTGCTTTTCTTGGATTTCTTCTCCGGCATACGGAGCATATCCTCCCCGGTAGAAAAGTAGGTTGAACCGGCACCAGGGCCACCAGCTCCAGGTGGTGGTACCCCACCCTTCAGCCCTTCTTCACCATACTGGTCATACACAGCTTTTTTCTGGGAGTCGCTAAGCACCTAGTAAATTTAATGCAGAAAAATATTAGTCATCTATTTAACATTCAAATCATATAATATCTAATAACACCAATAAAAAAGAATCTGTAAAGCTAAATCATTGGAATCAGATTCCCCAGTTTAGATGCTTGCTGCAAAAGAAAAACATCAATCCTTGTTTCTGTTTCACTATAATGTTTCAAGCAGAGGCAGAGCTAGACTGCCGATTACAGGTTCAGCCAAAAGCTTGAATTTATTTTAAAAGATCCATTGATTATGGAAACGATTATATAAATTTAGAGCCCAGTAATTTAAAAAGATAAGATTAGAATCCCGAACAATAAACTTCATATCCGGGTTTTGCCTCTGGATTCGAGCTCTAACCTAGTTGGGGCAAAACTGCTTCTTGTTCACTAGTGATCTTTCAAACTTTTCTTTCAACTATAAAAGATTGTAATACAAGTGTTTTTCTTCAGTAATATTGATAGTTACACAATTCGAACACATTGAATGTACACCAAATTAAAAACCAACAAAACCTTAATTCGATTTGAACTTCCACAAAACTTCTAAATTATGAAAGATTAATTGGGATCTAAAAGAATGAAACTTTTTCCTTGGTGAATTGGAACACGTGATTGGTTAATGAAACGATACAAAACACTCAGAAAATTAATGAATTGATAATCATCCTATAAACCCATCATTCTTTTTGCAAAACTATAAACAATAGACGTTCTAAAAGCTCAAATTTAGAACCTATTAGAGTATAAAGGAAAAAAAAAAAGATTGAAACTTTGAGCAAAGAAAGCATACATCATAAGCCTCAGAGATGTGTTTGAACTTAGCTTCAGCATCTTTCTTGCTTTGTGGGCTGTTATCAGGGTGCCATTTCATGGCAAGTTTTCTATAAGCCTTCTTCAAATCATCATCTGTAGCGTTCTTATCAACACCCAATACTTTGTAATAATCAACCCCCATCTTCACTTCTGCTGTTTTTCTTCACTCTGACAAATTTTCGAAAGAAGAAGAAAAAGGTTGTGGGAATTATAAATAAGGTTTGCGAATTTGTGAAGAAAAAAGATTTGTATGTTTGTTATTTTTAACTAACTTCTTTAACATTGTGTACGATTAATTAATAATTCTAAATGGGTAGATTACATTAATTTAATCGAATTTGACTTCTAAATGCAAATTATTTAATGATTTTAGGAATGTCTTATTAGATTTTGTTTGCTACATTGTTTGTAATTGATTTTTAAGGGCGGGTGTAGGTGAGGGGGAAATCATGAGAAATTTTAATAGTTATTAAATTGATAATTGATTAATTAATATTTTAATTATTTTTTAAAGATTTGACATGTTTATGAGTTGATAACCTTCAAAACAAATCGAAAAGATTGATATCTTACTTCCACGTTTTTTCTTTTTGTTTCTTATTTTGATAAAAGGTCAAAATGTCCTTAAATCATGTGAAATTAAATTTTAAAAAAATCCTTAGATAATAGTTTGACTTAAAAATGCTCTTAGCATCACTAGTTTGATAAAAAAAAATATCCCTACCACTAAAAATTTAGTTAAGAAATATACCTATTGGTAATGGTAAAAACATGTCATTAATTACCAAGTTTTAGTAATTATAAGAGGAAATACATAATTACCCCATGGAACTTTGCGGGGGTCCTATTACCCCACGAAACCATCCAAAAGCACAATAAATACATCATTTTTTCAACATCAGTGCTCTCAATCCAAAAGCGTGTGCCACACCTCCAACCCATTTAACAAAGGCCGGATTTTATCCTAACCCATTCATTTTTTAACCCATAACCCAAACCCAAACCCAAAGAAACTTCCAACCCATTTCACTCTCACCTACCCTCGTCTCTTTCTCTTCAACCTATCAAAACCCTAAGAAATTTCATGAGGCAAAGCTAGTTGGTAACATTGCTTGTTGAAATTTGTTGAATATTGGTGGCGGAACGAAGAAGTGAAGGCTCATAGGTTAGTTTATTTTACATTGTAAGTGAATTTTGTAGTGATTAGTTGTTAGTTTATTTATATTGTTTGATGCGTATTTCGTTTGTCGTCGTATTGTTGTTGTGTATATTACTCATCTGTATTATTGGGAAGTTGGTCTGTTGCAGTTGATGTGTATTTCTTTGTTGGGTTGTTGTTGTTGAATATTGTTGTAACTTTCATTGATTCAGTGTTTCTGAGATCTGTTTGTAACTGTGTTTTCAGGATTTCTTACAATGTCATTTGTTCTTATAACTTTAAGATGGTATCATGGGGGAAAAATTGTGTTTGGTCCCCCATCTGATTATGTTGGTGGGTCTGTGACTGAATTCTTGGAAGTAGACACTGATCGAATGTCTTATTTTGAACTGAAAGGCTACATAAAGGACTTAGGATATACAACATATTGTTCCTTTTTTATTAGATCTCCAATCGATGGCTTTTTGTTGAAGTTAAAAGTGATAAGGTTATTTGTGATATTTCCTCTATGTTTAAAAATGGGGATAGAATGGATGTTTATGTCTGTCATGAGGTTAATGAGCCAAAAATTGCTCCATTGGCTTTGGATTATGTCCCCCATGTGATGGACAGTGGTGTAGGTGGGGAATCTTTTACATCTTTTAATGAAATTGAGTCTCATGTTGAACCTTCTAGTCCTCCTTCTGAACATTTCAACCCTTCATCTCAACCTTCTAATCCTCTTGGTGAACCTTCCAACACTTCATCTCAGCCTTCTAATCCTCTTGGTGAACCTTCTAACACTTCTTATCAGCCTTCTAATCCTGCAGCTGAACCTTCCACTCTAAGTGTAGAAAGTTCAGATGATGAATCATATGATGAATTAGATGAGAGATCTAAAGTGTATAGCAGTGAAGAGAGTTTAGATAGTGATGTTCATGAAGAGTATAGGGATTTTAGGGCTTCGAGAAGGCATTTCAACAGGTCAAACATGAGAACTAGAGGCACAACTACAGAACAGATTCATACTACTGAAAAGGGCCTAGATATAGGATATGATGAAACAAATGTTGGCAGTAAGGATAGCTTATTAGGTAAGTTAGGGAGTGATGAAGCTCCTAGCTTTGAATTAGAAGAAGAAACAGGATGGGGAGATGGTGAAGAGGTTGAACAAATTGTTAGAAAGAAGAAAAAAAACAGAGTTATTTTTTATCCAACTTCTGAGAAGATTGTTTGGGAATTAGGTTTGGTGTTTGCAAATGTAAGAGATTTAGGGAAGTTGTAACCAAATATGCAGTTCAAGAAAAAATTAAAATTGAGAAATATGTGAATGAGCCTGGAAGAGTCAGAGTTAGGTGCTGCAAAAAGGGTTGTCCTTGGTTATTGGTTGCAAGTTTGGATAGCCAAACTACAGATTTTGTGGTTAAAAACTACAACCCTATCAATATTTGTGTGTCTTCAACTCATAACTATTTGTGCAATTCAAGGTTTCTAGCTATTAGATACAAGGATAGAATAACTGAGCAGCCAAACATCAGAATTATCAAGTTGCAAGAGCTTATTAGAAAAGAATTGGATATTCAAGTTGGAAAGAGAATAGTGAGAAGAGCTAGAGCTAGAGTGTTAAAAGAGATTATGGGTGATCATATTGCTGAGTATGGTAGAATTTTTTATTACAGAGATGAGATTTTAAGAACAAATCCAGGTAGCACTTGTATTGTTAAAGTTGGAGAAATTGCTGAAACTGGGCATAAAATCTTTGAAGGATTTTATGTGTGCTTTCATGCTTTAAAGAATGCTTTCTTTGGAGGTACTAGGAGATGCATTGGTCTAGATGGATGTTTTCTCAAAGGAGTGTGCAGAGGTCAGTTATTGGTGGCAGTTTGCAAAGATGGAAATAACCAGATATTGCCCATTGCCTGGGCAGTAGTTGAGGTTGAGAATAAATTTACTTGGGCATGGTTTATGACTCTAGTGAAGAATGATCTTCATCTTGGAGAAGGACATGAACTTACCCTGATTACTGATATGCAAAAGGTATGTCCTTGGTTATTAATACACATTCATCTTATATTCTATGTACTTTTTGATTCACCTTAACTCTTTTATATGTTTATTTTCTTTCTTTAATAGGGACTGGAAATTGTTGTGGAAGATTTATTACCATTTGCTGAACACAAGATGTATGCTAGACATGTCCTTGCAAATTGATGCAAAAATTGAAAGGGAATAGAGAGAAGAAATGTTTTTTGGAAGATTGCAAAATCTACATTTGAAGCTGAATTGAGGGACCACATAGATGCAATGAAGAAATTGGGAAGTGACTGCTTGGATGGTCTTTTGTACTACAATGTAGAAATGTGGTGTAAAAAATACTTCAAAGAACATAGCAAATGTGACTCGGTTGATAACATTATGGCAAAGAGCTTCAATTCATGGATATTGTCCGCAAGATACAAGACAATCATTACAATGCTGGAAGAGATTAGGATAAAGATGATGAAAAGAATTGGTCAATTACGAAAGTTCTCAAACACATGGGTCACTGATATTTCTCCCATGGCTTTCAAGATTTTACAACAAAACATTAATAAGTCAATGCAGTGTAACATATCATGAAATGGAGAAAGGGGTTTTGAGGTTGTAGACAAAGGCTTTACACATTGTGTAGACATTGTTAGGCACACTTGTAGTTGCAGAGCTTGGCAGCTTAAGGGCATACCTTGTCCTCATGGTGTTGCTTCCCTACACTACAAGCAATATGAACCAATTCATTATGTGGCCAGCTATTATAACAAGGAAACCTACCTAAGGACATATGAATGTGTTATCCAGCCAATGAACAATATGAATATGTGGCCACCATCTGTTAATCCAACAGTTCAACCACCAGCAGTTAAACAGTTGCTTGGTCTAAAGCTAGAAGGAAAGAGGCAAATGAAACAAAGAGAACTGGTAAGCTTAGCAAATGTGGAGCTGTTATGACTTGTAGCAATTGCCATACAAAGAGCCACAATAAAAGAGGTTGTCCTATTCCTCTAACTGTTCCAACTCAAACTGCAACAACTTCTACTCAACCACAGGTAAATGTATCAATTGTCATTAATATTTAGTTGAATATATACTAATATGTTGTATTATAATAATCAGGCAGATCAAATAATGAAAATGGTAGAGGAAGAGGAAGGGCCAAGGGAAGAGGGATGTCTCAAGGAAGCCAGGAGAACACACAAGCAATGCCTCAAGGAATAGGCAGAGGAAGGGCCAAGGGAAGAGGGATGTCTCAAGTAATCTAGGAGAGTACACAGACAATGCCTCAAGGAAGAGGCAGAGGAAGGGGCGCCAAAGGAAGGGGAATGCCTCAAGGAAGACAAGAAAATGAAAACACAAGCAACGGAAGAGAGATGTCTCACCAAAACCAAGTGAATGAAGGATCGAATAGAGGAAGATGCAGGGGAATAGGTATGCCTCAAAAAAATCATGAGAATGAAGGCACTAGTGGTGGACAATATTCAAGACCTTTTAAAAGGTCAAGGATGGTAGGATTTGGAGTATTGATTGGTGATGATGGTTTTACAACTGTTAATGTAAGTACAACTGTTATTGGTTGGTGATGATGATTTTTCATATACTTTTACTAACCTTTGTGGTTTATTTATACAACCTGGAATGCAAAGTAGTAGAGTTGTTGACATTGGTACAAGAGTTCCAAGGAGGTCTGGTGAAGTTACTGGAGATATTGGCTATCAACCACATTTTGGAGTGAAATGGAAGGGAAAATCAGCCATTACGAGTAATAGACTTCAGCAAATGAGGGGTGAAAAAAGAATTCAAACAAGGTCTGCAGCTACTGCTATTAATGAAAGCCAAAGCAATTCAACTACTAAAAAATAGTTGACGTTGTGGTTTTTTTTTTTTTTTGTGTTTGGTTATTATTGTGTTATTTACACTTTTCTTGATACCAAACTATATTTTGGTGGATTATTGGGTATCAATTGTGTTTT